AATTTCTGAAATGAACACTCTAGTATGAAACAGTACGCCTGGAGAGGGAAAGCTCAGTTTTCCCTGTGGTGCACGATGAACTATGGGCTGACTCCTCGTGGTGAGTTATCGATCCACTACCAGGATCACCTTCTGGCCATCGTCTTTAGGCATCATTAACAAGGACTTATTACGTGAGTAGGGGCATTAGAGTGCTGTGCGGAGGAAACCTACGGTGAACACGGAGGACTTGGTTTATGGCTAACTGGCAAATTCTTGCTAAATAGAATCGATAACTGAATTTAGGCTGAAGATAAAACACTTTAGCATGATCTAAGGTGGGCTGATCGTTTGAACAAAAAGCTGATAAAATCACACAATTTTGATGAGTTATGTTATATCATATTATATTATAATAGCTTAGACTTTCGACCCATTGACCAATGTTGTCAGCAGCAACAAATTTATAAAATTCTCACTGATGAATATTTGTAATGCCAGAGTCAGCTCACTGGAAGTACAACCACATGTCAGCCTACCATGTCCATATTGGTGTTTATATTTATCTGATTTCTACTATTTAAAGCATGAACTTCCCAAATGGGTGGCGTGTAGTGAAATGCAATTAAGACAGAAATTCATTTACTCACAGTTGTGAGAGAAGTTCCTGAATGGTCACCAGATGTTTCCTTTTTCAGTCACAGTCACTTTTTACAATATTCTGCAGACAAAAACTGATTTACTTCTTAAACTTATGAAACAAAAGCCTTGTATAAAAGGAACAGAATGAAAGAAAATTAATTTCATTTTCCATTTCATTTAGATCTCACAAATGGCCGAGTCTGTCTTATTCGGCGGTGTCAAGATAATGTCCAGCGCTGACACAGAGAACTAATATATTGTGGCTCATTTAGGTCAGTGAAGACCTTTTCTTTTTGGTGTCCTTGTAATTTTCCAACAGCAATCATTTTTACACGTGACAGAATTCCCTCAATGGTGACGTCAGATTTTACTTTCTTTTTACTCAACATTTTGCAGCTATACTGCTTTACTGTTTTAGTGGTTAGGTATGATGATGCGCCCCACATCTCTTTTAAAAGCAATTCAGAGCAGGAAATGACTCGTTTTTAATAAGAAATGTTATTTTCTCAGGGAGATCATTTTATTTGTGTATCTGGCAGGCAGCAGAGTAATACATGCCGATGTACAGATTTTATCCATCCATCTATCCACCCATTCTCTCCAACTTATTCATTTCAGGGTCATGGGGAGGGGATGGTCACAGCCTATCTACAGATTTCATGTGAAAATAAAGTTTAACTGAATGTGAATTTGGTGGCAAAATATCCAGCTTAATAATGTACATGTTCAAACATGTATGTTGCTCTTCGCCCTTTCATCCTTTCTGCAGCTGTCACACTCACTTGTTAGCTTGTTATGGTGTGTGCATGCTTGCATACACAGAGTAAACACTTTGCGAGGAGAAACACTGGTGATGCCTGTAATGCATGAAGGGTCTCCTGTCTATATCAGCCAGTCATATTTCACAGCCACAGCGAAACCAACAAGAAACGTCTTTAGCACATTTTCAGTTTGGCTTCTGATCTGGAGAGTGAGCTTTTCTGCAAAATGCTGAGAGTGCTGTTTCACGGATGGACAGATAGCTAATTGGTGGATTTAGGAAATAGTTTTTTTTTTTTATCTCAACTTGAGTTTTGAATCCAATATTTTGTCTTGCTTTGAATCTCCATGGCCGTTACTAGAGGTCAATCCAAATATTGATGGTATCGCTATCAACAGTGGTTTGCTATCGGATCAGTACCAGCGTGATAGGATTGATACTTTCTATCATCTAGGTTCAGTACAGTGTGTAGTCCACTGAAGTGTGTTCAATAAATTGTTTTTGTTGGAGATGAGAATATAATACCTAAATTTGCAGTATTGCACGCCACTGTTACCACAGGCATTATGTCTAATGGGGTAACAGGAGGAATGTCCCATGATCTGAAAGCTCAGATAGGACCACTCGACAGCACTAGCCAATGGGCCCCTCAACATTACACGGAAAGCACATATTTACATAATTACGTTAAAGTGAACAGGCTATACAAATGTTAGCTCTGCAAATATTTATTCAGTCCTTTACCCTCCATTGATTAAAGCAGGCACCCTTTTTCTGAAAGGTTTTGATGGCAGATGGGCATGCTGGGAAATATATTACTTGTACTTCCTGACCTTGTTTTTGCCTGCGAACCTGCTGACATCAGCTATGCAACAATTTGTTTTTCGGCAAGTGTCTAAAGGAGCAGTTTGTTGGTGCAGAGGCATTATAAAATATGTTTAGCAAGCCAAAGTATAAAAACAAAAAAGTGATGAGAAGAGAACATGGTGAGCATACCACCAGGACTTTGGATCTGAGCAGTGCTGTCAGTGACTCTGCTGAACTCCAGGCCCAAAAGAAAAAGTTCTGTTTTCATAAAAGGGCTGAAACATTGCTACCGTTTACATGTTAAAAATATGCACTCATACTGTAGTGTGTGTGTGTGTGTGTGTGTGTGTGTGTGTGTGTGTGTGTGTGTGTGTGTGGTACAGTAACCTGTGGTTAATGGGCCTCTCTCATTTGTTTCATGCTGTAGACATTACATCTGTCTTTATGTTACTTTTCCAAGGCGCTGAACTCTTTTGTGTTTTTTTGTAGTGTAGTTGCTGTCCATAGTGCTGATCAAAAGCTGGAATGATGCTATATTATTTTTGCAGTGTGTGTGTGTGTGTGTGTGGGCGAGAGAGAGAGAGAGAGAGAGAGAGAGAGAGAGAGAGAGAGAGAGAGAGAGAGAGAGAGAGAGAGAGAGAACAGCTCTCACAGGGCTGTTATGCCTGTGGATGTTACAGCTATAGATACTGTAATCATCTACTATTTTAGGTAACAGAGATTAGCTAAAAGCTAGCTCTCATTTAGTCCCATTCCCCTGTATCTGCCAATGAGCCTGCTGGGTATTTTGACCAACACATAGAGATTAAGAGCATGATGACATACACCGACCTATAGGAGGAGGTCCATCAGCTGTTAAAAACATCTGGATGTTCAGTCATGTACGACTGTACAGATTTTACTCTGTATTTGCTTCAGTTAAAAGACTTTTAGGCAGAAATTGATGCTCCTTATTTTACTGTGAATGCTTGGCTGACCTCTGCAGTCTAAGGTTAAAGTTCACCCTAGTTCAGTTTTTCCCTTCAAATTTGCACATTTAATCATTTCTGCAGTAGCTAATGTAGTATCGTGTTATTCTGTAAAATATCAAAGTGCCTGACTAACATCCAAATCTGACCTGCTCAGTATTTAATCATTACCAGCATTAGCTGAGTACACAGCAATTTCATTGGCCTGCAGGCTAATCTGACACACCTTCATTCCAGTATCAACAAAAATTCAATAAAGCTTGATTATTTACAGGATGTTTATTACTCAGGATTATTGTGTTATGTAACTTCAAGGGACGTGCAACGGATTCTGAGCAAAGGTGTGGATAAAGGGAGCTGATTTCAAATGAGCTGAGAAATATATCCGCAACTGAATATTTATCTTCAAACCAGACTAATAGTTTTAAATGATCAGTCTTTACTACAACTGAAGTCTGAAATATTTTTAAGACCATGCATTTTGTATTTGCAAGAAAAAATGTGCCTGCCTGTTACTGAAAGATACTGGGCTGCCCTGTTGCTTCAGGGCGCAAAGATCCTAATAATCTAATATTAAAAATGAGGTAGACTTTTCACTGGGGCAGATGGGTCTTTCTGTACATCCTGAAGCGATAATCAAACATCGCAGAGAGCATCCCTTAGTATTCACAGTCTGAAATGATGAGTCCATCTACATTGCTTAGTAAATGCATAATTTCATGTTGCATTAGCCCCAAACGAATTAAGACACGATCATTCTCTCAAATTTTTATGCTTTCTATGGTCTAGTGCAACCCTGCTTTCCTGGTTTTCTCCTTTACATTTCACAGCCCTGAGTTATGTCTAATTGCACTTATGCGGTGTATTTTAAAGCTGATTTTAACAAGCAAGCAGCTCCCGAAACACAAAAACACACCGAGGGAGTGTTTATACTGAATATTATGAGATTCACTCTACTTTTTTTTTGTTTTTTACTCTCAGGAGGAAATATTTCACAATATAACGAGATACTTTTCCTCGCAGATTTTCTTCATTATAACTGTAAAACTTTTCCCTCCTCGTCTAACAAAGTTACCTCATTGTTAAAAGATGTTGGAAATCACTTTGATGCTATAGTGTGATAAGTCAGCTCAATGTTGCCATTTGTGGGTAGTGCATTTAAATTGGGTCAAATCATCTTCGTGAATATAAGACAGACAAACAGTCCTGACTTAAAGCATAATCTTAAACTAAGGAAAAAAAAGGTTAGAGATAAAATGTGTGATGTGCTGTATTATATATTTGATAAATGTTGTGGCTGTTTGTGCCACTAGTATTTGTTTTGTTGCCTGAAACATTGCATTTCATGAATACTTGGTATACCATTAACCAAAGGTCGTGTTGGGGTTATGTGTCCAGGAAATTACAGTAAGTTAACGCGCAGTCCTCTGAGGTGCTCCAAACAGGATTTGGTGCGTTACAAATGTTCATAGCTGCTAAGATCATATTGTGCCTTATCTTTTCGATGAGTTTTCTAGCCTTCCTTCTTATTACTCCCATCGATTGGATTCATTAAAAGACACGGAATGGTCACAGAGGGTTCTTCTATTTCGTGCGCCAACATCAGATTGATGACATTAAAAGGAAATAACCTCAAGTGTGTGGCCAGTGTGTCGTTGTACTCCGCCCACACTCCCCGCGCCTCCAACATGTGTCTCCACTCTAATGTGCGATAGTGTGCGTTACCGAGAATGCATAAATGGCAGAGGACAGTACGCGCCCCTGGATGTGAGCTGCTGAAGTCGCAGCCACTCCACTCCATGTTTTGCCCTGCCCTGTGCGCTCTGCGTGCGTCTCCGTTGCATTTCGCTTTCCTCACACTGACATAAACACGGGGCAGCGGTGTGTGCGTGCGCTGGAGAAGTTGTTGGCACACTGAGCACCAGGTATCTTCTTCACGAGGATTTTGTTCAAACTGGGACCGACCTATTTCTTTTCTTTTCGAGGGGAAAATGAGGTGGAAGCACCAGCATCTAAAGTGAGGAGTCTCTCTCCCTCTCTCTCTTTTAAAAAAAATGAAAATCTGAACGCGCAGACTGGAGAAATCGTTCAATCAGGCTTTGTTTTGTGGGATTTCTCTTATTCTATCGGATCTCTTATTTCTCTGTGAAACATTATCAAGGATTTCACTGATGTATGCGATGTGGAGACTGCAAGTCGCCTTATGTACTCTGTCGGTGCTGTCCCTGTCATCCGGTGGTGAAAGCAAAGCGCGGAGCTGTAGCGAGGTTAGACAAGCTTATAACGCTAAAGGATTCAGCCTCGTCAATGTACCTCATCAGGAAATATCAGGTAGGCGAAACTGACAAATCAACGAGGCGTTTGGCCCCCTTCACCACGTGTCACGTCTCGTTTCTTCCCCTTAAATCAAACAATTTTGCAATAATCTCTGTGATCTCCCTCAGACCTTTAACCATTTAATATGTCCCGTCACTAACATGCTGCATTTCAACCCCGCTTTTAATAGCGGATTCATGTAGAGTCCTCCGCGGTTTCATGAAAAGTATCAGCCTTTTCTCCTAATATATTCCATGAGGTCGACTTTGTCCAAGCTTTCATCTGAACTTATTCGTCGGTATTTGAAAAGTGTTCAGTGGATGCCATTGCGACTGAATCGGTCTATATCTATATATCCTCTCCCTCTCTGTCTTTTTTTTTTTATTTGCTCTTTGAAGGTCGCGTGGTCCTCTCCATTTCCAACTTGCTCAGTGGTGAATCACATTGAGCTGCCTTTCATTTCTTATCCACAATCAAACAGACACCAGGAGTGAGCCGCATGCGTAAAAGCATTAGTCATGTTGCTCTTTATGTAAAAATCTCAACGTGTAGTTTCATCGCCTATGTGTGTGTGTGTGTGTGTGTGTGTGTGTTTTACATTTTATGAACCAATTTAAATATTTGGTTAATGCACAAACACTTAACTTCATTGGCAATTAAAGGCAGGTTTTCCTCTCCTTAAAGAGTTGGCGGAGGTTACAGTAAGAATCAAAGTAACAGTGAGACTCATATGTGAGTGCATCATGTGTAATCTGCTGAAACACACATTTGAGATTCCCTCATGTCTGTAAATCGGAGCAAGTAAAGGACTGACTTTGGAACAATGACACTAGAACATACCTTTGGAAAGTGTCTGCATACCTGTTGCTCATATTCAACAGAAGATGATCATGGAGCTTGTTGTGTTGGATTTGGCTAAATAGTGAGTAGTGTTTGCCAGCAGGGGGCTGTATGCACCCAACATGAAATAGTTCTTATGCTGTGGATTTTATTTGGTTTAGATATTCCTCAAGGCTACAGCTTAGGTTTTAATTCATGCTCTTTGGTACTGCTAAGATATGGGGTTTTATTATCTCTTGTGTAGTGGTAATCACATTTATGGTTAAAGCAAGAAAAGAGATTAGTCAGTAAACATAGCCTGCTTCATGAGAGGGAAGAGGAGAGGCAGAGAGTCCTGAAGTTAATCCCTCTATTGCCTCTTACAGACAAAACGGAAATGCTGTATTGGTAATTGGCAGTGTCATCTCGTAATGATCACAGAGCCCTCTTATATGGTCTTAACATGGTTTTGGCATGATGGGGAATATGATGGCTTTGTTAATGACTGAATGTGTGTTTAAATCTTAGCCAGCGTCTGTATCTTGCATGTGTGAACGTGTATTAGAAATTTATCGTATTTCATAGTTAGAACTAAATGAGTCCAGGGGTGCATGGTGATTTCTGATGTCTTTGTCTTTCCTTTTTTGATGGTTTGTGATTAAACTTAGGGTGTGCAAAAAAGTAAAATAGCACTAAAATACTTTGGCATTGCAAGGATGCTCGAGTGAACTGCGGTTCAAAGCTTAAGTTCATGTTCAAAGTTTTTTTTTTTTGGTTGACAGCTCTTAAAGGACTAAATTTTCTTGGCATTTGACCACATGTTAAAGTCAAAGACTGTTGGTTTTATTATAGAGCAAGATGTTTTGAGGGCCTGTGACCAAGTCCTTGTTGCATTTTTTGTAAAGCCAGTACTCTACGTGTAATTGGATTGTTTTTGTCTCCAAATAACCTTTGCATAAATACAACAGAGGGTAGATATGGGCCTCTGGAGAAGGGATAGTAGAAAGCACTCAATTATGCTTAATTAGCTATGCCAATACAAACGTGTGGTAAGCAGCATGAGCAGCGTTAGCGCTCATCCCTCCATCATTTGCTATGTCATGCTACTGCTATGCCTCTAGATACAAAACACACAGGTTTATTATTTCTGCAGAGGTGGCTTCCTCAGGTTCTAAGCTCCCATTTGCATAAGCTAATTATTTTGACAGCTTTCTGCCACTGACAAGCTGAGCTGCATTATTTCAGAGGTGACAAACCCACATGTTTATCTGTTATGAAATATAACAGGGTGATAATTATTGAATCTACACTTTTAGCTTTATTTTAATTAGTATTAAACAATTAATCATAATGAAATGAAGAGGAACAAAGATTGAAAAAACAGACCTTTCCGTTGGTTATTTATTTGTGTTTGTTGATTGAATTCTAAGTGGAAGCTCTCTTCCACCCACACAGTGTTACCTACAGTAAAGAAAGAGTCTGAATGAGTCTCATGGGCTGCGGGGTCATAAAACTTATCCAGAAAGTAAAGAACCCGGTAAACCTTCAGTGCAACAGAGAGACCTCAAATTAATGTTCCATGGATTTACAGCTGACTGATACATCATTTTTAAAAATCTGTAACCAGTTGAAAAAAATTGCTTTTGTACTTGCCATGTATTTCATAACTAACTTTTACATTTTTTAATGGTACAAGGGCTTCCGGTAATAATGGTTACGAATTTTAACTGTGATATAAAATCAGCACATTTGGTGGAAACGATCCTGCTGCTTTTTGGACAATCACATTTACTGAACTGTGAACAGATGTTATATATATATATAGATAGATAGATAGATAGATAGATAGATAGATAGATAGATAGATAGATAGATAGATAGATAGATAGATAGATAGATAGATAGATAGATAGATAGAT